GACCGGAGACACCTATTTTGCTAGTCTTCCAATGCATTTATTCGTGCCTCGTCTCTACACCCTATGTTGATCTCCTGTTGATTGAAAAGGGAGGTAAAAGGACAGAAAGGTAAATGGTAAACATATACTAAGGATATACCGCTCCGAGAGAAACCACTTAGTTGCTTGATGGAGATTTGTCCGTTTTGTCAACCGCCTTGTGCATATTCTCTTAAGCTAGGCAAAAAAATACTGAATATGGTCGAAAGACTGCAGCTTGCTGAAAAGTTAACGACAAAACTATCAAAACTCCGTAGTCAATCAAAATAGATACCAAGGCCGAATGAAGAAAAAGCGTTCCGAGGTTTTCTTATAAAATACCTTCATGTGGGTGAACTTCTACTGTGCATCTGTATCGTTTGTGAACAAACAGGTCAGAGGAATGAAGGAAATTGGTGGGCGTTGGGATGTAGCACGTGCCGTCAACTTAATTTCTGAAGGTACCACGAGATGGGATTTCGTGGTGTAAACAGCACTAGTGAACATCTTGGGGACAGAAATAATTCCTAGGGGAAGTTAACGTAAAGGAATGCAGCCGAACTGTAGCGAAGTAGTTAGCATGCGTCATCAGTTCGTGTTGCCGGCTTGCTTCCAAGTTGAGATGAACAGAATGAGGTTGATATGGGCCCTGCGCTGCAGCAATCTTCGAGGAGCTAACGAATTTGAAGGTATCTTTAAAATCAAAGCTTCCGGTATCATATGTCGTAGACATGCGGAAATTGAGTAGAATGTCACCTAACTGGGAGAGTAAATTCACGCGTGGTTGGTTTGCTTCTATGAGATTTATACTCTGATGTTTTTGTTCTTATCCTTTATATTAAGAAAGGGTGGAGTTAAGATAGTTCCTCCGTTTGCCCATGAATTTAATCCTTCGTGATAGCCCCACGACCCCGGGGTAATTTTTTTTCTTTGTAAGCGCCTCCTCATTTTCTGCTCCAAATGAGTTGTACTTCCTATGTCGAAAATGCAGTATTTCAACGGGGCCACTGAAATTCAAATTTTTATGAAAATATTATCCTTATTCTTATTCTTAGTATTCATTTAAACACGAAATGCTTGATTGATTAACCAAGAATTTTTAGGAAAGTCTGAAAAAATATATTGCACGGAAATGGTCAGATGGTGTTGTAATGACTTGAACTTCGGACGTAATCGCCAAACACAATCCCCAAAACAGTCGGTCAACCATAAACTCAGGAAGCACCAGCCTCGAGTTCTTCTTTATTGAGAGCTCATTAATGGTATGGATCTACTGGCTTATCCAGTGTGTAACCTCAAATTTTGGTTTTCGCTATAGAGTAAACTATCCATGAGGAGCTCTGAAAATGGCGAGTGTTTGGGGGGTAATATTACCCAAAGTCTGGAAAGTGTTATGAAGATTAAAGGATTAAATAAAACGAAGCTAGATTAAAATCGCGTTTTCAGAAGTTGTTTTCATTAATGTTCATACTACGTCTTCTTGAAATATTTTTCTCACAGGCCTATGAAGCCGGATTTTTGGGCCGTAATGCGTGCGGATCTGGGTACGATTTTGACGTTTACGTGCATCGTGGTGCGGGTGCGTATATCTGTGGCGAAGAGACAGCTCTCATTGAATCCATTGAGGGTAAACAGGTCAGCGAAAATGTTTTTTACGTTCTCCCTTTAGGTGTCCAGGGATGAATGAATTTAGTGTAAAGTTAGCTTTATGGTGATTTATACCTTTTACGATTTTATTATTTTTATTATTCGTCTGATTATAATCTAGACCAACCGATGAATTTATTCTGGTTTGACATTATTTCCACTCGTTCTGAGAAAGGTAGCTTATGGGATTCGTCTTTCTTTTGCTACGCTGCTCTCTTTTCTCTGCCATGGTATATCTCGTTCAGTCGGTGGTATCCGCGCTTGATAATGAATATGAAATGGTGCGACTATTGTTCCTTGACCACAAGAGTGGATTTGGTGGTCTAGGTAAAACGGTTCTATTCGATCGTTGGTCCGAATGCAACATTGACTCTCCTATGATGTTTCTACGATCACGCTTATTTAACCGTTTCAGTGGTAAACAATCATCGTCTTTCCCTATCAACTCTGGTATGCTACTAGGATCAATGTTTTCTCCATTTTTCCCTTCAGTGTATGTTGAGCACGTTCCCATCCAATACACCTAAACCGTTTTCCAGTACACTGATAATTTAGTCTTTGGTCGTAAACCTTCTAGTGCTGAAGCACATTTGCAGCCCAAAGAGGGACTCAGCGAAATAGTAAATATATTTTTATGTAACTCCGTGACTCCCATTAGTGATACTACGATATCTCTTATCAAAGGTGAACAACATAGAGTTTCCACTGAGGGTCTGCCTTCGCTCTATCTACAATAAAACCATACGCAGATCGATGACTTTCAAATGTCTCGTTTGTTTTTCCCGTAATCTTTCTTGGTTGGTACACTTTCTGTATGTGTGCGGTAAGATAAGAAGAATGTCTGTTGAGACACGTACCCCGTAATTTAATTCTCCATTTCGTAACTGCGTATACTCTTCCCCGTTTGGGTATCGATATACAATGCGGAAACAATGATTGGCAAATGGGAACAGATGTTTCCACTGCATAGTCTACGTACACGTCGTGGCTTGTGAGAGTCAAGCGGGACAGTACAGTAGAAGTCACTCGATGGTGGATAAGTCTACAAAGATCAGCACATAATCGACTGTAAACGGGGATCCAATACAGCTTTGGTTATATTATTGAGTGGAATGAGATGTGAAGAGAATAGTTGGAAAACTGAAGATGTGAATCATATCTTAAGTAGAAAAGTTGAATGAAAAGAAAGCAAGTTGTCCAAGGAATTCCATGTGCGGAATCAATGTATCGATTCACGTCACGAATGTTAACGAGTCAGTAGAGTGCTAATGAGTTATATCCTTATCTGACTTGTTTTCCATAGTACGGTGAGAGAGAGGCCACCTGAAACTGGAACTTGCATTGAAAACCCGACATAAGATTCTGATGGTTCGGTAATAGTGCTGTCCCGTACGACAACTGAACCGGTTTTCACCAGGTGTGCTACAACTTATGGAAGAAAATGATGTGGAGATATTTGGTTGTAAAGCAAAAGAAAGGTCTCACCAGGGGTGCACCAATGTTGAACCATGATCATCTGGAGCCCCAGGTGTTTGCCGTATTCAGTCTGGACACCGGGAGCATTCTGTTTTCATTCCTCAACTTCGAGCCATCCGTTTTCCACCTTATCCTCAGTTTCAGCTTGTATCGAATTGTGCAAACGTGCCTTAGTGAGTCAATCGTTAAACCGTAGTGTTCAGTACCTATTCAAGTCATCGAAGCCTTATGAGTGTGACACTTAGAGATCAACTAAGACTATACTAAAGGAAAGTCCTTCGGTAAATGTAGTTAGTAGTGATTCATTGTTGCTATCGTGTTCTGATGTTACAAGGACAACAGTGGTCGAACGCAGTTAATCTCCTTACATCCTCGATGCGAGCAGAATCACACCGCGCGAATGCTGGCATTTAATTGTTGCCTTCCGGTAAAAGGTGAATCACATCCACGCCGTGGATGACATGGGTCGACGAGCGCCATCCGAGTTACGTGGTGAGTTGGCATCTCTGTCAGTTCACTTGAATGGAAGCAACTTCTTACGTAGATAGGGTGATTCACAATTTCCAATTGATCACTCATAAGTGTGTGTAGCTCCTTCTCAGTGTTGTGGTAAGATGGTTCACTCAAACGTAGTCCACTAGAAGCCTCAGTATGGTCGGGGGTGGGTGTCTCAGGTAGCGGATGGTCACTCCTTCCTTGCACCTTGCGGAATACGCCCAAGCGTCTCGAATGGCCTCTACTGAGGAAGTCCTACTCATTGGCTTTTCGTAGCGGAGGTGTTATCCTTCCAAAGTGAGAAAGAAAAGCCAACATCCGGGACTATAACCGGGTTGGTGAACCACCTAGGACAGTTGGCTAAAACCTCTGATTCCAAACCAACCAAGAAGAGATGTGCGAATCACACTCACTCAAATCTCGATTCTGGCAGTGGTCACCCACTCGATTGGGTCTCGAGGTGTATTGAGCATCTTGAACCTTTCACC